CTCTGTAACTGAAGAGTGGAGGTCGTACAATCTTCCAGTGTAGTGAATACATTCTATGTGAGGTTGTAGCCTGTATCCTCCAGTGCATCTAGCAAGGTTGCAGCCATGAAGTGAAGAACAGAATGCAAGGTCCTCGGAATCTAGTTCGGGGTGGCAGGGGCGTACCAAAAAAGCTGGGAGGAGCATCTAGATACAGTGAGGAAGAAACTGGGGATGTGGCGCCAGCGCTCGCTTTCCATCACCGGGAAAAACCTGGTGATAATGTCTGAGGTGCTTTTGGTGTTACTGTACTTGGCCCAGATTTGGCCTTTGAGGGAGCGTCCCAAACAAATATAATAATAATAATAATAATAATCCTTGCATTTGATATAGCGCTTTTCACGTCGGGAGGACGTCCCAAAGCGCTTCACAGAACACACTGTAAAGTGAATTGACTGTATATTTGTGGGCGAACGCGGCAGCCAATTGCGCACAGCAATGTCCCACAAACAGTCGTAGATTGAAAATGACCAATTTATTATTGTTTTTGTTTTTGGAGGGATTATTATTAGGCTCTGTGTGGAGTAAGGAAACTTGCCCAAGGTTTTGCCCTCTGCCTGGAATTGAACTCAGGTCTCTCGGTTGCAAAGCGAGTGCTCTAACCACTGAGCTACAGGAGCTCTAGCTCTAGCCACTGAGCTACTGTGCACAACCTGTGTACAGTGAACCTGTCCCCGCTCCCCACTAAGAAGGGAGAGATAGGGAGGGGGGTATAAGACCCCATTTGTAATTGTACCCTGCAAAGGGCAGCAGAACCCCGAGGCGAGGAAGCCTTGGTTCCTTCACCAGAGTGGAGTGTACGGAGGCCACCCCCGCCACTAGGTGCTGGGTCGGTTGCATTCTGTAACGGGATAATAACATGTTGCATATTCTTTTCCGTAAAGGATTTGATACTATTTGAGACCAGAGTAAATATATATCAACAAATAAATATATATCTATATATATTCCAGAAGAAATTTCCTTTTTTCAAATAGTGCTTTGGGATCTTTAACGTCCACCTGAACAGGACTTTGGTTTAAAGTCTTACCTGAGGACAGCACCTCCGAAAAAGTAGTACACCTCCAGCAGTGCACGAGAGTGTCAGCCTCGACTATATGAGTTCAAAACCACAAAGTGGGCTTGAACCCATAATCCTCTGACTGAGCCGAGAGTGCTACCAACTGAGCTCGGCTGACACTATACGCACATAATAATTACCCTACATAATGTGATGTGAAGAGATTGCCTCAATGAGAGTGGAAATCGGTTTTGTACTACCAGTAAATTGTCAGTTTGGCTCAGTTGGTAGCACTCACATCTCTGATTGTGGGTCCAAGTCACCTGTTGGAGACTTTGTGTTCACAGTCTAGGCAGCATTGGAAGAGTGTGGATAAGATATTAAACTGAGGTCCCATCTGCCTGTGTAGGTGGACATTAAAGATCCCATGATAGCTATTCAAAAATAGAAGTGAGTTTTTCCTGGGGTCCTAGTCAACAATCCTCCAGATAAATTAGTCATTTGCATCATAGCTGTTTGTCAAAATTAGTTGCCACATTTACATATAATATACAATACTATGCTTGATAGCAACTGTCTATGAATCACTTTGATGTTTTATTGTGATAGGCACTATACCAAATGCAAGGATTATTATTAATCACAAATCAGATGCATTCAGTCATTTCACATTTCATTAATATTGAAAGCTATTGATTTTTTTAATAACCTATTTTTTCAGTAACATTTTAAAGATAATATATTGCATTCTGTAATGTCTAGAAGCTATTGGAGACATTGAGAGTTGTCCAACCAGGAGTCATCGAGCATGTTTTCTGGTTACTGAGTAACATCAGTATTGGGAAGCACTTGTAATCTAAACAATTTAATCCATTTTAACAAAGTGAAAGGATGGAACAGCTTCAGGGTTACCCTCAATACTGTAAATCCTGTTGCATGTATTTGCCTTTATAACAACACTTCTGATCATGAGTTTCATGCAAGTTGTTGCAGGCATTGTTGCTTTTATTTTATCTGCACTATTTTCAGTCTGTCAGAACAGTGCTGCTGCTTCAATTAGTATTGTACTTTGTCCCTCCCTATAACTCTTCATCGTGGGTCTTATCAAACTGTTGAGAAATTGGGGGTCTCTGTACTTCAACAAATTATCCTATTTAATTAGATATCATCCCATATTTTCTTTAAAGGCAATATATTTGTCTTGGACGCTGTTGTCTTTACAGCTACATTTTCTTTTCAATTCAATTATTTGACCTATTCAATCCACAGCCATGATCTAGGCCAAACCAATATCTAGGACTGCATGCAGTGAAGAAACTATACCCATTGGTCTTAAACTCTTACAATGTATTGATGAGAGAAAAAAATAACCCAGAGCTATAATAATCATTGTGGCTGTGGAAAGCCATTCTGACATTAAAATCACTTCACAATACCTTCCAGACTAATTATTCATGAAGGCCGTCACATTGAATTAAAAACAAAAAGGCTAAAAGCACGAGCACTGTTGTCACTAGATCCCCAGTACATTGGTGATATAGCACTTAAGGGTTTGATGATGTGTGATACTGACACTGCTGTCAAAGTACTCTTGAGATACAACCTAAGATTGTAAGGGCAAAAATCTATAATTGTGCCGAATGTTTCACAGTTTAAAAGGATCTGATTCAAATAACACAATTGAACTTCGCTGAAAAAAATATTTTTAAAAGGGATTATTACCCCTGGAAAGCGGTCCCCCCAATCGGCTAACAACAGGATTCCTATTTACTGTTAGGTAAACGGAGGTGTGTGTGTGGAGTAAGGAAACTTGTACAATGTTTCGCCCTGCCAGTAATCGAACCAAAGTCCTCTCGCTTGCAAGTCGAGCGTACAGACCTGCGCCTCACACGGTGCAATTTAATTTAACAAACCCAAATCCTTTATTGACTTTGTGTTTTGGATTTAATATCTAAAATCAGTTTTGTCTTGGGTATATAATCAGTTTTATACCTACATCATGTTAACATGATCAACCTGATAAGAATGATTTTGGTGGAGCCCGAGGAGCATGCTCACTGACTACGTTCTACCCATTTACTCTTGCTTTTGTTACATTGCAGAATTGAGAATGGCTAAAGTTGCTCTTCTCTGTGTAATTGATGGATGCAATTAAAAAATAGTTTAATAATACTGCCATTTGATATAGCACCTACAATGCTGAAGTATTTTTTCACACAGAGTAATAATAATAATAATAATAATCCTTGCATTTGATATAGCGCTTTTCACGTCGGGAGGACGTCCCAAAGCGCTTCACAGAATAGACTGTAAAGTGAATTGACTGTATATTTGTGGCGAACGCGGCAGCCAATTGCGCACAGCAATGTCCCACAAACAGTCGTAGATTGAAAATGACCAATTTATTATTGTTTTTGTTTTGAAGGGATTATTATTAGGCGTGTGGAGTAAGGAAACTTGCCCAAGGTTTCGCCCTCTGCCTGGATTTGAACTCAGGTCTCTCACTTGCAAAGCGAGTGCTCTAACCACTGAGCTACAGGACTCCACGTTAGGAGTAGTTAGAGTAGTTAGGATATGGAATGTCCTGCCAGGAAGTGTTTGAGGCAGAATCCATATGAGCTTTCAAAAAGGAATTCGACAAATACCAAAAAGGAATAAACGAGAGGGGCAAGGGCAGGTAAATGGGACTGCAAGAATTGATCTTAAAAGAAAGAGCAGACACAATGGACTCAGTGGCCTTCTATGCTATAAAGTTCCATCTCAAAGAGCTTCACAGCTGTGAAGAGTATTGACTGTATATTTGTACAGCAGATCCCCGAAACAGCCATTGTATCAGTAATGAACTGAAGGATTGTTGGCCAAGACCAGGAGAGGCTCACTTCTCTTTTTGAATAGTTAATGGGATCTTTAGCTACTTTTTGAATAGTTAGTGGGATCTTCAGCTACATGAACAGGCAGCTGGGACCTCTGTTTAACATCTAATACAAAGGACAGCGACAAATGTAGCACACACCCAGGACTGCACTGCAGTGCCACTGAGCTCAAGTATTGACGTATGGTTTGAGCTCACAACCTTCTGGCAAAGGGGTAAAAGTGCTACCAAATGAGACGGGTTTTATTATGGAAAGTCATTAAAAATAATTGCACTGTATAAATGACAGGAAGACTATTTTGGGCAGTAATGAACTACTTTGTTCTCCCAATTGACATGAGTAGTGAAATTTACATCTAGTGATCAATTTGTTTATGGCTGGTGACATTTCCTGAGTTACTTTAGTTCTGGGTGATATGGTTGTGAGTTTGAGCCCCACAGTAGAATTTGAGTCCATGTTTGTTTGGACTGGAATTTCAGCCAATAGAGGTGTATCGTTGAAGATAATAATAATCCTTGCATTTGATATAGCGCCTTATGTCTTCGGGATGTCTCAAAGCGCTTCAAAGAACGTGAATTGACTATATATTTTGTGGGCGAAACGTGGCAGCCAATTGCGCACAGCAGTGTCCCACAAAAGTTGTGGATTAAGTGACCAATTTCTTATTTATTTATTGTTTGAAGGAATTATTACAACCCAGACAAGCGATCTGCCAATCGACTAAGCGTTCCTACTTAGGTAAACAGGCGTGTGGAGTAAAGAAATTTGCCCAACGTTTCGCCCTGCCAGGAATCGAACCCAGGTCTCTTCCCAATGAGGCATTAGACTGAGGTGGATCTTAAAAGAAGTTGCAGTGGTGTCCTGGCAACATGTAAATTTGCTGAAAAACATTTGGTCGTTCTTTGCATTGTTTGTGTTACATTCCTAGCACGAATGAACTTCAAAGAAAATACAGTAATTGTATGAAATGTTTTAAGATGTTTCAATGTGAGGAAGCATTGCAGTAACTACCAGTGTAACTAGTTTAATTTTTGTTGCCTTGTCAGAATAACATCCAGCAACACCTAACGGATCACTTTCTTTTCTAGATCGAAGTATTTTAGGTCGAGCGCTCACGGAGAACACTTTACTATAGAGGTATGTAATGTATTATTTACTGCAGCCTGGAAATGCATTGTTCATCTTCATTGAATAATTCTGCAGTGACAAAAGTGCTGAGTGGGTGAAATGTTTACAAACTCAAAATTAATAGATTTTGCATTTATCCAAATTAGTATTCTCATTTGATTATAGTTTTATAATGGCATTCCTGGAGATAGCAATAGAATGATCCATTATATTGATATAATGGTATCTAGTCTGAAAAGACTTCCAGGATGGTTGAACTGTGCAGGAGAACCTATTTCGCAGTGTTTGGCCTCCCAGAAGTAAAGTGTTTAGATTTACTTGGTTCAATTGCCAGTGGCCCTGACCCCCTGTCAAAATGCGTGCCTTAAAGTTGGCACCCTTATTCCTTGGGGAGTCGTGTAGCTCAGTGGTTCGAGTACTCACCTCTAAAGAAGGGGATTGGGTTTGATTCCTGGCGGGGCAAAACATTGGGAAAGTTTCCTTACTCCACATGCCTCTGTTTACCTAGCAGCAAGTAGGAACCTGGTTGTTAGTCGATTGGCAGATCGCTTTTCCGGGGCTAATAATTCCTTCAAAAAAATAAATAAATTGATTACTTGAATCAACGACTGTTTGTGGGACACTGCTGTGCGCAATTGGCTGCTGCATTTCGCCCACAAAATATAGTTAATTCATTTTACAGTATATTCGGTGAAGCACTTTGAGAAGTCTCAAAGACGTGATAAGGTGCTGTATGAAATGCAAGGATTATTATCCCTTTCCCTCCTTTTTTAAAAAAAATTCTTCTGTTATTGAGGATAATTGATAGGAATTGACTGATGTAGAACTTTGCCTTCTGTGCATCCTCACTTCAGGGTGAGTGATGCCTTGAACATATGTCAAACTGATGGGTTTCCGCATGTCAGACATCCAGCCAACTAAAAAAAACTTTGAGCCTTTCATTTTACACGTATGGCCGCAACTTGTCTTTCAGTTGTGCTATTAAACTAAGGTACCGTGTAGGAGAGATAATTTATTGAGCACGCTTACATATACATCTCCAGATAATTGTCATTTTCATCGTAACTGCTTGTGAGACCTAGCTGGCACAATTGACTAGAGAATACTATGGAAAGAGGGACAGATTATTTACCGTGATTGACGAATTTCCACAGCACATTCAATCCATTATTGCTTTAAGGAGCTTTTTGGCAATATTTGTTCAATTATTCTTATTTACATGATGACATTGTTACTAAGCATTTCCCTGGAGCACGGAATTGCTTAGAACGTGGATCTACTGATCTGCATTTACAAGAAGTGCATTTAAATTGTTGGCGCGGAATGTCCTGGCTCCTGAGGAGGTGGGCAGGATGCCAAATTGTTAGCCTCAGCCACTCACACAAACATTTCTGGTGCTAGAAATGTTTGTGTGAGCAAATGTGGCTGACCAACCAGCTTCCTGTGCCCATGTGCAGCAGGCCAGCCGGTTTGCCCCAGGAGTGACGTTTATAACAATAATAATAATGCTTGCATTTGATATAGTGCCTTATCACATCATTGAGATGTCTCAAAGAGCTTCATAGAATATACTGTAAAATGTCGTGACTGTTTTGTGAGCAAAACTGTGACCTGGAAGTGGGGACATGTGGCTTTTTTCAGACCAGTTATAAATCTGTCTCATTTTTTGGGTTATGAGGCATTTCGTTAAAGCAGCATTGCTCTGGATTAATAAAGAACAGAATCTAAAATTTCAGGTCTCCAGTTTCATTAGGGAAGAGCTACTGTGATCGGTTTCTTTTTCCTTCACTGAAACCAGAGGCTTGCTCAAGTTAATTCTTACATGTACGTGTTGTAAGGTCGAGACGGTGAGTCAGCACTTAACTGGTGTTCTATTTCTCTTTTGCAGTTTGAGAATTTGGTGGAGAGTGATGAGGTATGTTTGCATTCACTCCCTTGAGGAGTTTGTCTAAGTGCATCTGTGTCTCATGGGCTATTGGCATTTATCTGTGTCACAGCTGTCTCCCTCGCCGGGTAATTAGGTCAGCGTTAAACATGCATTTTAACTGGACTAAAACTACAATTGAGTTAGGCTACACCTGGAATACAGTTTTATTCAGTGTGACATAGTAAGGCTGCCAGGGCCCTCAAGGCACAAAGAGAGCAATGAGGCTGATTCCCGTTTTGAAGACAGTGTTGAGCTGTGATTAATAATAACTGGATAATTTTTTTTTAAAAAAGTCTGAGAGGAGAGAATCTTATAAGATGCTTGATGGGATGGAGATCAACGCAGAACAATTTTTCAAGTATGCCAAGGAAACATGTCAAGATGGTACAAGTTCAGGGTTGTAAAGGCAATTTTAGGAAAACACCAGAAAGCATTTTATTTTTAAAAACACGGAATGTAATCAACAGTGAGAACAAGTTACTGGGAACTGTGATTGTACGCAAATCACTGATCTCATTTAAGACCTATCTTGGTATTGAAATGGGAAGTTAGTTGAGATGCTGTTGTGGAAGGATGAGATCAAGTGGGATGATGGGCCTTCTTCATCTGAACCCCCCTTTGTGATGGATATCTTTCTCAGAAGACCATCAATGTCAAAAGATTTTTTTTCTAGTTGACCATGAGGGAGTGAAACATGACACTAATGGGAAATGAAAAAAGAAACTTTCCTAACTGATTACAAACCACTGAACATATTAATTGGGCTCGCCATCTGTCACATTTCCTGGGAGATGATCTTCAAAGGGTCAGAGGTCTAGGCCTGATGCTCTTTTCTCAGTGTGCAAGAGGGCATCACTGAAGAGCTTGAATGACAATTTAACAAGATTACATTAGTGATCCCGTGTGTGGTCGTCAGTGACATTCCTTATTGAACTAAATCCTAATGTTACCAAAAGCAACATTTGCTTCAAATTTGCCTTTTTCATTTTGGATAACAGCAGAGTTATTTGGTTGATGCAGTAACAATTCAGATATAGATTTATATTTTAAGTGTTTCTCATCAATACGATCATCTAGGTTAAAATGAACAGTTTAGTAATACAGTGAAATTTGCATAAGTCTTATCTTTATAAATTGTATAATCGCCTAACTCATACATTCACCCGAGTCCCATTCAGTTTGCTATCAAGATCATTTACATTTTTTTGCACTGGTCGTATTTATCACCTCCTAATTGGTAACACTGCTCCCCTGCTCTCCATTACTCCCACACATATCAGTGCATTGATTCGCGGTAAATGGCTGACCCGTCGATATATGAGCACTTACCGGCCAGCAACATTGAATCACGGGAAACGTAGTCTTGATTCTTCGACCCATGCATGCGCAGAAGTACTTCACTTCTTGTGATTCAATGCAATTTCAACACTTGCCGGTAAGTGCGAATGAGATGACGGGTCAAGACTCATTGGATCGCGGGAAACTTAGTTTTGACCTGTCACTGCATGTGCACTTACCAGCTGCAGTGATGAACTACCACATGCGGACTTACCGGCTGCATTGAATTATGTATGTGCAGTGTAGAATATTCATTAAATCGGATTTTATACGACTTGTACAAGTTTGCCTACACTCGGACTTTGTGTGTCACATTAAGTGTTATGGTCCCAACTGATACAACTTGTGTGAGTTCTGTTGCAGTTTTCGCTATGTAAGATTTGAGTTGTAAAAGCACTTACATTTTAAGCTAAATAAATTAGCATGCTAGAATCATCCTTTAACTGTTCCTGAAATTATAGCATAACTGCTGCTCATTTTTAGTACTGTCAGATTGATTTTCCTAATTTTTCCCAAATGCTCCTCAACTCAAATGTCTGAGAAGAGCTTTTAGAGAAGAGTGAGACTTAAAAGTAACTTAATCTGTGCACTCTTCTTTTCTCCCCCCACCCTTCACCAAATCCACACTCCTCCATATCTCCCCATTTGGTCTAAAAAAAACACTTAAGAGTCTTAGAACTCGATCATTTGAAAAACCTCTTTGTTAATGGTGCCTGAGGGATTTGAGGTGGAGGAAGAAAACAGATTAAAAATGGGGGAGGAGAGGATACTGTGCCAAAAAAAGGTTGGAACTGCATGACTCCGTTGTGAAGCATTGCTGAGTGCAGATCTTTTTGCATTAATGTTGTGATTTTTACTTTACAGGGTGAAAGCCCAGGAGCCAACCCCAGGTAAGGAGCTACAAAATTGTTAGAATTAGACATGTATTCGGAGTGGAATTTGACTCTCATTTAAACCATTGCACAAAATTATCATTCTGCCATGTTTGTTTAACCTTCAAGTCGAGGTGAATAGGCATTAATGAGTCAGCCTGGCTCAACTGGTAGTATTCGGACATCGGGGCGGTGGGGTGGGTATGGGGGTTGGTGGAGGGGAGTTGTGAGTTCAAGCCCTAAGTCGGAACTTTGAGCTCATAGTCTCGGCTGACACTCCAATGCAGTGCTGGCTGAGCCACCTTAGTGTTTAATGCCAAAGCCTTTGAAGAAACTTAGAATTAATATTTTCCTGAACCCCGCAGTGCCACTTGTCTGGTGCAGAATGCAGATGAACAACTTAACGCTGCCTTCAGCTGTCCGATTATAATATCTAACATCAGAAATGACATTTAGAACCAATAATTAGAGCTTAATACAAGGTCATTAAATGTCTTCAAATGGAGCTTTAACTGCATCTTGAGCTTATTAATGCAGGCTGCTGATACATTTAGTGTAGCTTTTTAAACCTGCTAATTGGTAAATTTTCTGGATACTTGGAGAGGGTGCAGAGGAGATTTACCAGAATACTACCAGGGATGAGGGACTTTAGTTATGTGGAGAGACTAGAGAAGCTGAGATTGTTCTCCTTGGAGCAGAGATGGTTAAGGAGAGATTTAATAGAGGTGTTCAAAATTATGAGGAGCTTTGATAGAGTAGTTGGGGAGAAACTGTTTCCACTTGCCAGTGGGTCAGTAACCAGGGCACGTAGATTCAAGATAATCGGCAAAAGAACCAGAGGGGAGATAAGGAGAATTTTCTTTACACAGAGAGTTGTTACGGTCCTGAATGCACTGCCTGAAAGGGCTGTGGAAACAGATTCAATAACAGCTTTCAAAAGAGAATTAGATAGGTACTTGAAAAGGAAAAATTTGCACGGATATGGGAAAAGAGCGGGAAGTGGGACTGATTGTCCTCCAAAGAACCAACAGGCACAATGGCCGAATGGCCTCCTTATGTCCTGCAATATTCTGTGATTCTATACTGACTTAATTATTGCTGACAAAACCCATTCATTTATTAATAATAACAATCCTTGCATTTGATATAGCACCTTATCACGTCTTCAAGACCTCCCAAAGCGCTTCATAGAATATACTGTAAAGTGAATTGACTGTTTTGTGGGCGAATCGCGGCAGCCAATTCCTCCCAGCAGTATCCCACAAACAGTTGTGGATTGAGTGAACAAATAGTTATTATTATTTATTTTTTCAATGGGATTATTATGCCCCGAAAAATGATCCGCCAATCGACTAACAACCGTGTTCCTATTTACTGCTAAGTAAACAGAGACGTGTGGAGTAAGGAAACATGCCCAGCGTTTCGCCCTGCTGGGAATCGAACCCAGTCTCTCGCTTGCGAGGCGAGTGCTCTTACCACTGAGCTACAGGACTCCATTTAAATCTGTCACTGCTCAAATGTGAAGATTTTAGTGACATTGATAATTTAAATGAATCTGCTATCAACTGTGGTGTGTGTGTGTGACTGGAAGATAGCCAATTTTATTTATTAATAGGACTCCACTTAGAAAATGCAGCTCTTGGTGCCTGAAAGGGTTCCCTTCTGTGCTGCACACATTTTTGGAGTCCTGTAGCTCAGTGGTTAGAGCACTCGCTTTGCAAGCGAGAGACCTGAGTTCAATTCCAGGCAGGGCGAAACCTTGGGCAAGTTTCCTTACTCCACACGCCTGATAATAATCCCTCCAACACAAAAAACAATAATAAATTGGTCATTTTCAATCTACGACTGTTTGTGGGACACTGCTGTGCGTAATTGGCTGCCGCGTTCGCCCACAAATATACAGTCAATTCACTTTACAGTGTGTTATGTGAAGCGCTTTGGGACGTCCTCCCGACGTGAAAAGCGCTATATCAAATGCAAGGATTATTATTATTATTATTTGCCCATGTATCACTGAGCATGATGTTCACATTGCATGCTATACAAAACTAACTGCAGACCCTGGAGCATTTGTGACTGTCCAGTGAAGCAGTGGCGCAAACGGATCCTGTTTTCCCTTTTTGAAAATTCATCTCAAAGCTGTTAAAATATGCCTTGCCATAGGTAGTGTGGGTTCACTTATAAAGTGATTGGATTGTGACACTAACCATTTCAAACAGCTGTGCACAACGAGCAGCATTAACATCTCCTCGGTGTGATGGCTTGATGATCTGAAAGTTGGCCACTATAACCAACCTCTCTATAGTGCAGGGCCTGAGACATTGGGCCTAGGTGATCACGTTATAAAACAATTTTCATATATTACTTAGTTGGGTGCAGATCCTGGACTGTCCACGGCATTGGGACGTCTTCCTGACATGAAAGGCACTATACAAATTGTAATTTGTTGTTGTTGAAAATCATTAAGTGTTTTCCTTCATTGGTCATGGATAACATATTTAAAACAGCATGATCTTATTATGGAATTACAGCAGCTCTGAAACACTGAATAAATAAATTCTGTTTTGAAGTCAAAGGGGTGTTTTGTGTTGTAAATTGATGTTTATCAGCAAACTGTGAGCTTTTTTTTGGCTGCTGGCCTGTAAAAACAGGTGATCTCATTGTAACACCCATTTTTAAAAAGTCTGGCATCAATACCAAGCTGTTTTTAAATCGTTTTGTTGATGTGATTCAAACTGTTTAAATCAAAAGTGGAGATTTTGAACGTTAAGACTGTGCCACACTACATGTGACCCAATTGCATATACCTTTGCCATGTTAAATGTATTAAATGGCTCCAGTGTATACTGTAGATTGGGAGCTCAATTATTATTATTGCTGAATGTTTCAATTTTGACAGACCAATCAGTGAAGATGAAATCCAAATCCTTCAGAATAGACATTATGACTCCATTGCCGAGAGGCAAGGGATGGTGGACAGCCAGCTGCAAACTGAGGTAGGATTGTTTCTCTGTGCTCTCTGTTGTTTTGAACATCTCAAAAATATCATGCACAAAATAGAGGATGACCTTTTTATAACATGTCTTGCTTAAGCGCGAGTTCACTTATTAGGCGTAAAATACCCAACAGCTTTTGATACAGACTGCATGACTTCCTACCCAGCTGATCAGGAGGCTGGCTGGTCAGCTGTGATTGTTTTCATGGGCAGTTCTAGCACTCGAGAAAGCTGTGAGAGTAGTCGCTGAGCGTCTAGCTTCCTGAGCATATGAACAGGGACCTGTCCAATTCATGCCAGAAGAGGTGCAACTGTCCAGAAGTGGTATTGCCACCATATTGGTTTTGCAGACCTTTTATATCGTGGATCTAATTTAATGGACCCGAGACACCGCAGTGTTACAGGATCATCCTGTATTATGCCATTGCTGTTATTGGAAGTTCTGGCTTACTGCAGTTTGTTTGCAATGGAATCCTTAAATCCATTGTGCACTATGTACAGCAATTTGATGTAGAAACCTCCTGCACCACTATGCAAATTGCTGTATTAAGAACCTCCCATCCTGAAAGCTCATTTTGTTTGTTTGAGCCTCTTAGATTTCGAAGATTTGGAATATAAAAGTGTAGTGTGAGTTTTATTAAAAGAACCAATTCCCCTCCATTTACTGTCTTTCTGCTGAGTAGGTATTGGACTTTTCAAGCGCCAGTCTGCTCTGCACTTCTGTTTCGCAATGTGCGATATATAGTGCACCATTCGGTTGTGAATTTATAAAACAAAAGCTACAATGCATCAGGTTCAAGTAGTCTCTTTATGGGGCAATTAATTGGATCCTGAAACTGCTTTATTAGCTATCTCTGCACTATGTGCTCTGCGTGACTGACGGGGACTAGAAAGACTGATGATCTGGTGCAGAGCTAAATTGGCAGCTGTCAACTGAATGGAATGTGAAGCCTGTTAAGCGCCTTATCCTGAGGGCTTAATTTATCCAACCTGAGAATCGAATTGCATTGAAATACACCAGAAATAATTGAGCCTGAGAAAAAAATTCACCTTTGATATATACACCTTCCCTTAAGAACACATTCTCAATGTTATTTATTTTTATGTGGACGTTTTTATTATTTTTGCTTTTAATGTTTGATTGAGTTGTACATTATATTTATTTCGTTTCGACGTAGAATACTGAGCTTTCGCTCAGAATGCTTGTAACACACCTGATGTTTATTTACCCAATGAAGCGTTTTATCATTTTGTTAACCTTTTTTGTTTCGTTCACATGCAGTTAGCTGCACAAGAGGAACAGTTAAGGATAGAAGAAGAGGCATTTTATAATGCCCAGCGTGAAGCAGCCAGGGCAGCAAAACAGAAAAGGCTTTTGGAGGTGAGGGGATGAAGCCCCAGTTTGGTTTTGGATCTGCAAAACCTAATCTCTTATACACAGACCTGTTTAAAATGGCTGCACTTACAGCAGGCTGCCTTCGTTTTTAAAAACAACTTTCAGAATGTTTACAGCATGGAAAGATGTCTATTTAAGGCTTTTAGTATCTATGCTGGTGCTTGCTTTAACCCACATTAGAGCTACTGTACCTTTTCTGATCCCTTTCCCTGTATTTTTCTCTTTTACATTAAATATTTTTTCCTCAGGTATTTATCCATTTTTTTATGCAGTGCTATGTTAAGGGCATTGCCTCAAATGCCATTTGTGGCATAGAATTCCTGCAGTTCTCTATTGTGTATATAAATAAAAACAGATTTTATAACCTCCCTTTTTTTTCTTCCTTTGATAATCCTCAATTTATTCCCTTCTTTCTGACTTCTCATGCAATCTGCAAGGCTTTTAACATTCTTGCTTTAAATGTTCACCCATATGCCAGAAATGTATCTGTGATTCTGACAGAAGAGAAAGAGGGTACTCCAGAAGTAGTCTATTAGACTCCTATCCCATTTGTAATAATAAGCCAAATCCATTTGAAGTTTTTCTATCCTGTCTATAACTTACATAATTGAAAACTTCCCCTCTTTTTAATACTGTATAGCAATAATCCACTGCTTGTCAGGGCTTTGAGCTTATGGTCCCGATGCTGGTGGAACGCTTTATTGCCAGAGGTGCCATCCTTTGGATGAGACATTAAAATGAGGTCTCACCCATCTGTTCAGATACTATAATACTATTCAAAAAGAGAAGGGGAGGAGTTCCTGGTGTCCTTGCCAGCAATCCCCAGATGAAATTAATCATTTATTTCATGGCTTTCTGTGGGACATTGCTGTGCAAAATTACTGCTGCGTTCACCTAAAAGTACAATCACTACACGTTACAGTAAATCCTGTGAAGTTGTTTGCAGTGTTTCGCCGACATAATTACGCACAATGATATAAGGATTATTATAATAGTGTTAAAAACACTCTTTGACATGTTTAATGGTAAGAATTTCCACACTCAGAAATCTGGAGTGCCATCTTTTCATACAGAGTAAATGTGAAACTAGAATTTTTGATATCTGCGAGTATTTAAAGTTAGTTGAGTCAATTTTTTAGTTACTGCATTTACGTATTTTTCTTTGCTGACTGAATTGCACAAGTTTAGTATGCCTTTTTTTCAAAAACATTTTTAGAATGTGTTAGAACTGATAGCACTTCTTCCTCAAAGTAGCTTGGAAATGGTGAAGATGCAGAACAAGCATTTCTTCATTGGTTGAGTTTTGGAGTGGTGGAGGATCCTGAAAAACACTGTTTGACAATCCAGCTGACGAGAATCTAGTTGTTCAAAAGCTGACAACTTGAGGTTTAAAATGAAAATTTCATTTGAGGTCTTGCGCTTCACAATTTCTGAGGCCTGAAATTCCACTTAGTCTTAGCCTGTAAGATCATTTTGTCTTAAAATTTAAGATGGTGATTGATTAAGATTGTTGAAAATTCTTGAATTCAGTCTCAATCTGGGATCAGTTCGAAATGAATTTAAGAATTTTCCAAAATTCTGTGCAATCTTAAATTTTAAGTGAAAATGGTCGGCCAGGTTGAGGCTATACATACAATGAGATGGTCTCCCGGTATGAAAGGTGCTATACCAAAGGCGAGGAATATTATTATAATATCATACGTGGAACTTCAGGCCTCTTGATACTTAATGTGTGTAAATGTACCCTGAGAGCAGCTTAGTTTTTAAGATAAATATGTTGTGTGTTTTGTACATTCTTCGCTCGTTGCTCTGGGCGCTGGTCTGAAGATGAGGATGGTTTGCTGTGTGTGAAGTTGACTCATTTAAGATCTATGTGCTTTATAGCAACAAAGGTTACAAAAGATGAAAAGGAGAGCAAAGGTTGCTGCAACCCCTGACCAACAAAAAGGGTAAGAAAGATTTTTTTAACATCATAAGGAAGCTTTAACAAGTGCATTATAGAAGTTTATGAAGACTTCAGATTGGTTCTATTCCAGATTTTCCTTTGCATTTTCGTTTCCCTGCAATTTCTACCTCCCGTCCCCCCCACCCCACCCCTTATTTTGTCCTCACGATACAATACAAAATTACATTTGCATATCGCCTTTCACGTCAGGAGGATGTCCCAAGGCATTGGATATTCCACATATTCACATCAGGACAATTAATTGGCAGTAAAACCAAAACCCAATAAAGGAAGAGAGATGGGGGAAGCTTTGAGATGCTGAATCAGCCGGTTGAGCAGCCTGGAGAATCTTGTCACCACTCTTCTGCTGCTGCTTGTGTTAACAGGAGTTCTGTACAGGTGAATTGAACACCTTAGGTACACAGTAATAGCCCATTTCAATTCCTTGTACTTTTACAGTTCTATTTTATTAATTATTCACCTGGCATTGCTCGCCCCAGCAATTTAAAGCAGGAGAGCAAGAGTCCCTTTGGGAGCCAAACAGAATTGTAAAAAGGATGTTTTATAATGCTAGACATATTGGGACAGGCATTTCCTGGTGATAATAGTAGTTAGAAGTACTTAATTGTATTCAGTACAAGTGTTTAGTTGTATTTAGACACCCAGAGGATCTGTGTGAGCGCCATAATTTTCATAGCAGATAATGATCTGTAGCCATGTTCGGTACAACATCTTCCGTAACATGGATGGAGTGAAGAGGCAAAGTGCATTTGCGACAGCTTGTGTCAGCATCTCCATAATCTCATATTGCTGTTTTGTAACGGGGTAAAAGGATCTTGTGGATACCCTGTACACAACAGCATTACAACATTGAATTGCTTGCCTTGTACCCTTCATGTAGGATAAAGTCTCGCAGCGCTTTTGCAATGAAAGAACTGGACACCGAGGGGTCAAGTGGGTGGTGACCATAGGTGGGGTTAGAAAGGTAGGTTTTTAGGAGGTCAAAGAAACAGTTAAATTAGACGGACTCAAAGAGAGCTCACTTGCAATTAGAGAATATTTTCCTGAAACGAAGGTCCGAATAAAATGTAACGGACAAAAACTATTGCTCAAACAGAACTTGATACTTGGCTTTAGGTGGATGTTACTGCCACTAGTAAGTAAAGTGGTATTGTGGCGCTCCATCTACTGAAGATGCTGACTCGTGCTGTGGTAGAGTTCCAAGAGCATCGGATTCCCTCTGGTACATTTCCCAAATGGTCAATTATTCTTAACAAGGTCTGGCAGTGACTCCTTGCTGGCAGGATCCACATTAAAAAAAAATGAGCCCCCACCAGTCTTGACCTTTTCCAGCAGGTGCGACTGGATTGTGATCAGGAATAGGCTTACTGTCTGATGTTTTCTTCTCCCTTCCATGTGCAAAGGCCACGGAGAGCAAATCTAGTGCCCCAGAGCTGCTGCTTGGCTGACCTGGGATCAAAGCAAAATTTAGTTTGCATTTCTTCATGCATTACTCACCATCCTGTTTGTGCACCCGCAGTGGGACAGGATGCCATTCGTATCTCCACACCAAACTGTGGGAAGCTAATATTCACAAAAATCCCCTCTGTACACATAGCACTTGTCTCTCTGGTGAATTCCCCGGCAATACCCTCGCTCACAACATCAAACATGAAGAACGGATGCTGCAATATGAAAATTCAGTTCAACATCTGTTTGTATGTTTAAACCTAAATTCCCAAGAGGGGAAAATTAAGGAATTATCAGATAGCTGAGGTTTTTCTCACTCCCAGGGTCAGAGAACTTGCTGTAGCACAGACTATTATCCTGCCCTACTTTTTTTTAGAATAATACTTACTCCAAGCTCAGGAGATGTTTCTTTTTGTGAGTGTGCTGCATCTTTAATTAATGATCCTGTTGCTTCATTGTACAGCTTGTGTGCAGGCCTGGAACGTTAATGCCTTCCTGGAATTTAATTGGGGATTTGTACCTAGTGTTTCATGCCAGGTGAATAATTAATAAAATAGAACTGTAAAAGTACAAGGAATTGAAATGGGCTATTACTGTGTACTTGGTGATGAACAAATACTGCCACCTGCATGCAGAAGTTCACCTGTGCATTTAACACAATGAGACCCACATCTTGTATAAAATGTTCTTGCCTTGCGCGTAACGTATACGTTACCTGAATGGGTTGTTTTACCTGCCAATCCTGTATTTTTTTGCAGAGATGGAGGAGAGGAGGACTTTGAATCCTACCTACAGAATGCAAAATCTCAGTCTGAAGCCTTCAGGAACCAATGCAGTAAGTATCGTTTCACTGACGACAAGACTAGCTTCTCTGACGTTCCAAACTCTCCACTGCAAGATTACAGTAAAAGGATGGATTGTTGCCTTTGATTGACAAATTTCAGTGCTGTTAAATAACTTTATAACAGAATTTGAACCGCAGGTTGTAAATTCTCGACGTTCCACAACTGCGACACTGTTTGTATTAATTCAGTGAATGGCCTTTGTGATGATTGTCGATCGGCCAAAACCACACAAAATGCATAAAATTTCATAATCTGTTTTGACACATTCTGGTGACCCACTTTTGAGTTGCGACTCACTGGTTGAGAAACTTTGGTCTGGATTATATAAATTCAAAGACCCGACGTGGGGTTTCTGCCCACATCTTTCTGACTCGGAGACTAGAATGCTATAAACTGAGCCAGGCTGACACAGAAGTGATAAAATTAAGTCAAAATGTATTGGATTTCTATTATTTTTAATATTGGGTATATTTAATCATTCTTTCAATCCACTTAATCTCACTTTCAATTTAAAAAGCATCATAAATACCATAAAAGACTGCATTAATTAAGCAATGGAAATGCATGAGGAATGCATTTCGTTGAAGCAGATAGGTAATTGAAGTTGAATTACAGCATCTGGAAGCCTTAGCAAATAACTGAACAAGAGTTTATCAATTAATTATAATTGTTGCCATGTTTTCGGAGTTGAAATATTTAATTGGACCTTTTGTTTCTAACTTTATTGATTATACAATCTAATTATGATACAATTTACATTCACATAGAGCTTTTCATGTTAGGACATTTCAAAATGCTCATACTGCATTTTCAGGGATTAGTGTAGAGAATTTGTTTTAAAAAAGCTTAAAAGCTAGTACATTATTAAATATGTTTTAACCCCGAGAGCCACTTTATATAATAGTCTTTGACTGAGAAGATTTAAAAATTAAACAGTGCACTAAACTGACATCGGTTCACTAAAGCATTCGCAAAGCGTAGAATGAAGGATTCCAATCAAAGCTGACAAATGAAAATCACTTCCTCAGAGAGAGAATTTTAGGAGCTAAAATAACACTAATAAAATTGCTTTATGAAGGAATGTACAAAACCATAAAATAAATACCATTAGGTTTTATCTGCCCACTCGCTTTTTAAAAACATTCTATCTTACATTACAAATGACTTGCTTGCAAACGTCCCTCCCTAGGGAGTCAGAACGGTCAGGGATCAATAGTCCTGATCCCTGACTGTTCAGCGCCTTGGGACGTTCTCCCAACGTGAAAGGCGCTTTACAAATGTAATTATTTTGTTGTTATAGTGTAGTCTATATGTTCACCATGCTTGGAATTGAAGTATTACTATATTTTGTTTTTCATGGTTCTTGGATGACACATATAGAATAATCTAATCTAATCTATTGAGCCAATCTACGATATGGACTTTTTCATAATTAGAAATGTCCTGGCCAAGAATCCCCAAAATAAAATTAATCATTTGCATCATGGCTGTTTGTGGAACATTGCTATACACAAATTGTCTGCTACGTTTACCAGTGGAGTCCTGTAGAGTATGGTTAGAGCAATTACTTAGCAGTAAGTAGGTACCCGACTGTTAGTCAATTGACGGACCGCTTTTCTGGGGGAAATAATCCCTTCAAAAAAACATTTTTAGAAATAATAATTTGGTCACTCAATCCACGACTGTTTGTGGGTCACTGCTGTGCACAATTCACTGCCGCATTTCACCCACACAACACAGTTAATTCACTTTACAGTATATTCTGTGAAACACTTTGAGACGGCTCGAAGATGTGGAAAGATGCTATTTCAAATGTAAGGATTATTATTATATCACCTTACCTCAGCCACCTTCAGAGAAAATCTTAAATGCCAGGAATTCTCAATATCAGTACTCTCAATACAGACTATTTTAGTTAATTACCCTAACCCTTTCTGTTTCTATCTGATTTTTGTTTTCTATAGTTGATTTCTGTCCCAAAAATATGTCATCTGCTTTTCCTCATTTATTTTCTTTCAGATATTAAAAACCTTTGGTAGTCGGTTTTGAAACCAATATTCTTGAAGTTACTTGTGTATCAGTTTAGAAAAATCATCCTATTAGTTGACCTGCAAGGGACGATGGTTCATGTCTTAATTGTGTTAATTCAATTTGATCAAATTTACCCCAGGGGTTTAATTTATTTTTAAGTATGAATTTGTATGTCGCCACATGTGCCCTTGGCATTTCCTGATTGGCCTGGGCGTTTATTCAGAAAGTCTTCAGAAAGATTGCAGAATGTGTCCATGTAACAAGTTGCTATCCTGTCATTAAATAAAATTGTGGGCAGCACATTTTGAAGAACAATGTAAATGGGTATACTGAACAAAAGCAAGAAATTAAGATTAGGATAGATGCCCCAAGTGGAAGGATGGCCCTATGGCCTCAACTGTGCTGTAGTTTCTATGAATCTATGCAAATAGCTGTTTCTGTCCAGCCTGCGACAATGGAAATTAGTCTCTAATCGGTACAGTTTTGTTTGGCAGATATTGAGGTTGATATTCCAGATGCTAAATTCTAGTGGCTATAAGGATTGTTGACACAGCCTTTATCCCCATGAAACCTATGAAACTGAATATCAACTGAATGTAAATAAGCAAGACAAAAGGCTACTTAATTTCATAGCTTTCAATTGATCTGTCACCACAGCCAGGCTTGGCCATGTAGGTGGTGCTGTTGCGAAACAATGAGCAAATTGTTCTACAGACCTGGCACTGTTTTCATAGGCTGTTTACTGGCCAATTTACTATCTGGCCAGTCCTATGTAAAGTGTGTTTTTAAATCCAGAATCATTGTTTTCAAAACTATACTTAAGTGTACATATAGTACAAGAAAGCTAAGAACAGGAATAGGCCATTCGACATTCAAACACATTGTAAAATGCATTGATTGTATATATTTTAATTCTTTTTTGTGCATATCCTTTAATAACCTTATTTCTTAAGTATCTTTTGATGTGTGTAAGAGATTGCCTGCTGTTGGCCACATTAATCTCATAATGGGATCTTTACCGCTAACTGAGAAGAAGACTTTAAGCCAACTAGTCTGATCAGCATTCCAAGACGCAATCCACATGCTTCAGCAGGAGTCATTAAATAGTGTTCAAGAGCAGGAAGCCAGAATGATTTCCCCCCCATGGCTAGGGCATTAAAGTAGTGCTAGCCTGGCTAATACCATCTAATTCAGCCAGAGGCCAAGGATGGCGGATCGAGCCACCAAGGGAATGGGGAGGTGCCTGGAGCCACGTTGGAATAGGAAGGTCTTCAGGCATGACCTGAAGATGGGGAAGGAAGGGGCAAGGCAGAGGGATAGAGGAAGAGTCTTCCAGGGTTTCACGGTGTAGTGGGTTAACGCATGATTGATGCAGGTTCTACTCTACTATGTTATCTTCATGCCAAATTAACATTAACTGCAAATTGCTCTGACCCCGTAAAATGGTCTGAATGGCACCACAACAACAACTTGCACTTATATAGAGCCATCCATGCATGTTAACATCTCAGAGCACCTAACTGTGGCAGAGCCCGACTCCGAGCCAGTGGGGGGCTGGCCATAAGCACGGTCGAACCAGAAGGTTTTCAGGCAAGACAAAAAAGGGGAGAGAGGGGGCAATGCGGAGGGATTGAGGGAGAGTGTTCCAGAGTTTTGGGGCACAGTGACTGAAAACACAACCTCCGATGGTGGGGCGGAGGGTGCGAGGGACGAGCAGGAGGCCGGTGCCAGTAGAGCAGAGGAGCCGGGTGGTGGAGTGAGGAGGTCAGAGAGGCAGGGAGGTGCCAGGGAGTGAATGGATTTTAACACGAGAATGTGGATCTTGAAGTCAATCTGTTCAGTGATGGGAAGCCAGTGGAGCCTGGCCAGAACTGGTGAGATGTGGGTACGGAGTTTGGTCCGGGTCAGTACGCGGATGCAGAGTTCTGTTCTTTTGAATAGTGGAGCTAGTTTGGTCAGTCTGAGGGAGAGAGAGCAGGGAGGTTGAGGAGTTCAGATCCGCAGGAGTGAAGACGTTGACGGGAGCCAAGAAGTCCGTCTGCTCCACATTCAACTGCAGGAAGTTTGCACTCATTACACATTGTACTGATAACGTAGCTCGTTTCCTATTACCTGGAACACTGATTTCTCTTCCTGGCTGAGTGGAGCATTACAAGTAGAGCATGCAGCACCCTATAGTGATTGGCTGGACCAATAGAAAAGTGCGGAAATATTTGTCCCCAATTGCGGGGAGATTTGCGGATTTTGCAGAAAATTTCAGGAAAACCTTTTGCCAAATTTTGCAAAAAATGGCGAAGAGTTGTTTGGTGTTATTGAAGTACATTTTATTGCCAACCAGCATTTTTTCACTTTATTGATGAAAACTAAACATGAGGAAATAACACGTTAGATTGTTGCAAAAAAATTTATATTCCTTCTTTAACAAAAAATGAGTGGCCATTTTTTTTGTGGGGGTGAAGGGGAGAACACCAGTGAGATTACAGTAGCTCTCAGGACCCAGGACCGCGCACATACCCAGAGAGAGAGACACGCAGACACAGAGAGACGGGGACACACACACACACACAGACGGACACACACACACTGAGACAGACACACTCAGAGACACGCTCTCAGAGAGAGATGCACACTATTGGCCCAGGTGATTGGCCACTAAAATCTGCTGGTAGAAATTTCAGTGTCGCAGAAGGGTTGGGCACTAGCCTTTCACCTTGGAGTCCCAGATTCACATTTGACCAGAGCTGCCTTGCTGCAAGACTGTTTTCAAAGTGGCTTGTGGCAGTGTCTAATGATCCTGGGAAAGTCCTTCCTCTATGACTTCTCTTATAACTTGAAATATCCAATTCCTCTACGCTAGTTGTAGTGTAACGGTTATTCTACTGAACATTTCACCTGCTAAGAATTTGAAGGTTGGCAGCTATGGAGTCCAGTCTGCACTACTATCAAAATTGTTTGGTTCCCTGCACTTCTTATTGCTGTAATGTGTATGCCTTTCAGCACAATTCTGCAGTGTTCTGATTTGTTGAGAATCTTCTGTGTCTCTGCTAGGAATCTCCTCAGAACCTACTATTCTGACCCCAAACACTGAAAGCAGCTGTGATTTGACAGTAAAAACCAAATCAACAAGTGGAAACGATGATAGTACTTCACTGGACCTCGAGTGGGAGGATGAAGAAGGTACAGTGCATGCATATTGTTTGGTTACTGTTCACATCCACAATAACCTGCACGCCTACCACATTCTGGCGCCTTGGGATGTCCTCCCAACGTGAAAGGCTCTATACAAATGTAATCTTTTTGTTGTTGTTGTTCTTGACCTCACTGCACTGTGAATGAGGCCTGTGAAAGTGCTTCCCACAGGAAAAGGAAATCCGAAGGAGATTCTCACATCTTCTTAATGGCAGAGGCTACAGACTAGTGTAACGTTTGAGGGTGTTAATCAGAGGCTGGAGAGAATATATCCACATTTAAAGGCTTTATTTTTTTATTAAAAAGTTTCCAACTCTGCAAGTCTGCATTATTTGTCCTGTACTCTGAAGAAGAATGTTAAAGAATGTACTTGGGTGTCATCCTGGCTCAGTTGGTAGTACTCTCACCTTGAATTAGATGGTCGAAGGTTCAAAAACCACGAAAGAGCTTTAAAATTGGTCTCGGCTAACATTCTAATACAAGCTGGAGGAGCCCTGCATTGTTGCATTGTCATCCTTTGAAATGTAAAATTGATGTCCCATCTGCCTGTTCAAGTGGACGTTAAGGCACTGTTTAAAAAGAGAAAGGAGTTTTGACCAACAGTCCCCCAAATAAAATGTGTCACTCACATTATTAGCTGTTTGTGGATCATTGTGTGCAAATTGGCTGCCAAATTCACCTATGGATTACAGTCACTGCACTTCATAGTAAAATCCTGTGAAGTGCTTTTACATGTCCTTCCAGTGTGAAAGGTGCTATATCAAATGGAAGGATTGTTGTTTTATCTATTTCAAGTTAGATATAGACGCAGACATTCGCAGGTTAAATGTATCTGAGCAGCAAAGAGACTGGGTTTCCATCTGTTCTTTTTTGTTTTTTACTTACAGGAAATGTATAACAGGCCTCAGGCATAATGGTGATCATAGCTTTTGAAAATATTTTTATATCCTATTTTACTATTCCATGAATTGGAAGAATGACAGGGGATACGGTGTGTGAACTATGGTGCTTGATTTCTATAAAGGCTTCCTTGTGATACCATTACGTTTATGTAAGACTCAGTTTAAACACTCAATAATTCACTGTACTTTCTTTTTTGTGCAGAACATGTTTTAATTATTTTAGATCAATTTTGTTATGGTCAGGAACTGACTACTTTATTCACTTCAGAATAGACCTTTTTTGAAGTTGTAATATTCGCATACTTGAATAATGTGCAGTCTAAAATATTTCTGTTATGCCGCTGCCTTAATCTTCGTGTTGTGAGAAGAGAGACTAGTAACTAGAGTAAGCAATATTATCATGGATGGTTTGGCCCTGTGGGCATTACTGGTCATTTTCCTCTCAGGTGCAATGTACAAACCAAACCTATTCCCTTTGATTCCAACCGATTGTGGCAACAGATCTAACTCTCAGTCCCAATTGCATCTCTTACTGTCCACTGTATTTTACTTCACTGGGGAGTTTATATAAAATGATCAAAATTAGCTTGTGTTAAAATTGCTTATTATTGTCATGTGAAGTAACTTCTTTAATGCTAACCTGACAGTTCTAAAATGTACAGACCCAGTGAACATGGAATTCTTTTCTGTAGAAATTACGGAAGGGTATGCTGCAAAACTAATCTTAAAATAATTTTTCAGCTATGATTAGTTCCTTTTTTTAAAAAAAATAAGAACTGAATCAAAGTGGTGAAGCTAATCTTTCAATGTTTTTAGTGTATAGCAGCATTGAAACAGAGGAAGGTAATTCAACCCATCAAGCCTGTTCTGTTATTTTGGAAGCATATAGTTTAGCTGACAGTCCAATCCAGTGCTGGAGATGTGTTGCATTGTCGGAGGTGATGTCTGTCAGATGAGACGTTAAACTGAGGTCCAATCTGCCTGTTCAGATAGACATTAGAGATCCCATGCCCTATTCCCCCAAATTAAAATTGGTCACTCACTGCATGGCTATTTGTGGGAAATTGCTGTGTGCAAACTGGTTGCCACATTTCACCCACAAAATACACTGTCAATCCTCTTTACAGCTTCTCCTGTGAAACACTTTGAGGCATCTCAATGACTTGATAAGGCACTATATCAAACACAAGGATTATTATTATTTTATTAGGTCATGGGAAAAGGCCGTTCATCTGACTGAACCGGTTTCACCAGCTAATTAGATTTTGGGAGACATTTTAATTCTAATGGTCTGTCTTTTCACCAAACCCCTTTGTAGCCCCTTCTACTCAAATGTACATATTATGTCACACTCTTGTGTAGAAAATTATAAGAATTTTTTTTAAGTATGAAAGGTATTTTTATTTCAAATCACTTCTCTGTTCTCTGCGAGTTCCTGAGCAGTGACTCATTGCTGTGCAAATCAAACTGTATTGATGTGAATGCTAATGGCAAGCAGTGCTAACGGCAGAATTCTCATCACATTCAGCATCATTAGGACACAAACAGCTGGTGGGGAGAGGAGGAATGGGAGTATAATGCAGAAAACAAAAGTGACTGGAAAACATTAGTTATATTTCACTACAGGGGTGAAATGGGATATAGTACATGGGTAGTTCGGGACATATGTGACTACCAGAAAGGTGGAGGGCAAACTAGATGGACCTTGGTCTTTCCTCTAGCATTTCTTATGTTCTTATATGAAATGAACTGTGAGTGTTTTCAAATTCTGCAATTGAAACCATTACACATTTTTCTGAATTTAGTTGTTGGTAAAAGCCTTTTCTACATTATTTGACAAAAATGTTGAATAATTTTACCTGCTTTTGCTTTTGTCACTGAAAATTCACATTAACCACTTTCACCACCTACACAACGCATGGGGTGAAAGCTGAGATTGCTGAATGTACTATTTGAGGCATTGAAATACAAAGCTCTTGTATCGTTTATGAGCAGAGAATTACAGTGCAGCTGACTGGAAGAGTCTGTCATTCATCATCATAATGTAACAACCTTCCGAGTGCTCTGAGTCTGAGATTGTGGTGATGCCAACATGTAAACAAGTTATGTAACATTGGAGATTTAGATGTGTGTCAGATGATCTGATTTTCCAGCAAGAAACTGAAACATGATAGCAGCCATTTCCTGATGCCTTGTATGAGTCATCTTTTTAATTCATTTTTAGAGTTGAGGGGTACTTTTGACAAGAACAAATAAATGACAAATTGCTTTTTTTTGGTCAGCTGGGTGTCTGGAACACGTGAAAGCCCATCACCATGCTTAAGAGTATCCAAACCAAGCTGGGAATTCCATGAATCCCACCTAGATATGGAAATTGTCGCATCCAATTACTGGCTATCCTCTTGACCAGGGAAGGAGGAAAGGTAAGCAGGGTCTTCTTGGAGCTAAACTGGCTCTAGGGTGACGTACTTGGCAAGGAATGTCAGAAATAATCAACCCTCTGTGGCAATGTCAGTAATCCGTTTCTTGAGCCAGGCGGGTCTGCAGCCTGGTTCATGAGTCGGACGTGGAGAAGCAGATTGCTCACTGAGGAAAAGGTTTCTTACCACTCAATTCCTGTTAGCCCTGCAAGCCAAAGCCCTTAAATGAGGACTGGTCCTAGCTCAACAGTACCCAAACACACACACTGTGGTCTCCAAGCCTTGTTTCTTGCTAACCTGCGTCTAATACTTTCTAGACTTAGGTAACTAAGAAACATCCCTCTGGGGAAAGAATGCACATTCCATTCTAAAGTTGGACATTTCCATGTATGGTTGGCATGCATGGCACTCTGATTTGGATGCTCTTACGATTGGTGACGTATTTCCACATGTTTCAGACACCAGGAAGCCAAAACAGAAAGTTATGGTTCTTCTGATTTGTAGTCGGAAAGTCCAAATACTTCCTCTTTGGAGGACTAATCTTGTTAGTGTACAATTTGGGGGCCAAAATGTCTGTTCATCAATGATTGAATTCTCAATTTCATATACTGGTTAATTTTGCACTGCAGAATTATTAACCGAATATATTGCTGTGAGCGGTATCATGACCAATGAGCAGCCACTTTAGTGGTCTTTTCTTATAAGTAAACATGTTAATCTGTTGCAATTTATGAATCAGTTATTTGTTATTTAAAGCTTTACTTGAGTTTCTAATTTCTGGAGGTAATTATTCTGTCATGCTATAATCTAATCAAACAAATTATTTCTAGCTTCCAGGTGACTAGTACAGAGAAACCCCATTATAACACAATGGTTTGAGTCTCCATTATCTCAGGCTTTATGTTGTAAGTTGGTGCAATAACTAAGCCCAAATTTAATTTAACGCAACTACTACTTGCATTTATATAGCAGCTTCACGTACAGTGGCATCTTGAGACACTTCATTTAAAACTTTGGTAAAGGAACTGTGATTGTTTACCATCCATATTTCATTCTGAAACATTCTGTGTTTAAAAAATACTTTTGTTTCTGATTCAAGGAATTAACAGACTGATTCCAATGAGAGAACGCTCAAAAACAGAGGAAGACATTCTGCAAGCAGCCTTGAGACACAGCAGCCGTAGGCCTGGGAGCAACCCCATGTCTGCTTCAGATGAGTCCACAGGATTGGAATGGGAAAATGATTTTGTCAGCGCCGAGTTGGATGATAATGGGAATTCCGAATATGCAGGTTTTGTGAACCCGGTTCTAGAACTCTCTCCTAGCGATGTGACTACTTCAGAGAGTGACCAGCAGGGTTGATAGTGCTGTTCGTGGACGACGTGGATTGATTGAGACCAAACTTTTGAAATGTTGCAAGAATGTATTTCCATCTACGTGGGACTTTTTACATTTTAAAGTGGGTGTATGACTCTGTGTATAGGCCACTAAAGAATGCGGTTGATTTGTATCACGTTAGCACACTTATGGATCTAATTTGCTATATTTCTTAACAGATTATTATGTAGAAATGTGTAATTATCAAATTTCTTTAAAAAAATACTGAAAAATGTATTCTTCAGCACATTTCATGTGTTTAAAAATTCAGTGAATGCCCTTTCTTTATTAAGAAATCTGCTACGAAATACCACAAATTAGACCCCGCAATTTCTGATAAGTGCAATTCTTGTAAACTTCAAACTTATGAATGTTTTTTTTAAAACCCGCTACTCTGGGTGTGAACTAAAGAAGGCTGTGACGTGATTGGGGAAAAAATATGCTATAAATGGTTAAAAGTTTCTAGATCCCTGATGGTTGTTGTGTAAGAATTTATTTTCACGTGGGTCGTTGCTATTCTGGTTGTAGGTCTGGTATTATAGGTTAGCACACTAGATTGGTAACTTGGCCCATTGATCAAGTTTGATTTCTTGCATTAATTTATAAATACAGTGGAAGCTGCTTAAGAGGGACAACTCAATGTCCCGCCCATTGCTGTTCTGATTGGATGGGAAAGGGACCAATTAGCAGTGGCTCTGAGGTGATTGACAGCCTGGAGCTGCTTGTGAATGGATGGGCTCTCCACCCAATCGCAAGTGGCTCCAGGGTGTCCATTGCAATTTGACTCCTCCCCTTCTCCATTGTTACTTTTCTGTTCCTCCGCCCCCCTCATTGATTGACAGCCCAGAGCTGCTTGTGAATGGCTGGAGTACACTGTCAATTAATTGCAATCAGTCTCCTCCCATTCCCATCCCGAAGCTACTCGAGACACAGAAAGCACGAGTGAGTAGGCGCAACAGTGACCGGCCGACCGGCATGATATCTTATCCTGATTAACCAGCACATTTAAAGCATCTGAAAATACAAATAATTAGGGCTGGGCGTTGCGTCCGGTTTATCCAACGCCAAGGGCTAACCAATCTAAACTACGTTTAAGCGCTCTGAGATGCTAACCTGCGTGGAGGGCACAAGATAAGTGCAAGTTGTTGTTGTTAACCAGTGTCCGGCTTAAGCGGCTTCCACTATATCATGAAGCCTTTTGAAATTGAATTTGTTTTTTTAATTTGCATATCATGAATGAATCCTTGTTTCTGTTAAGTTGTGAATCATTCTTAGTTGAGTATGGAAACTCATTTTCCATCCAAATGCGTTTTGTTACTTTTTTTAAAAAAAATTAAAAGTATTCCATCAGGACAAGTAAATGGTTGGGTTGATGGACCATGGAATATGTAATTGCATCACTTTCTGTTTTTCTGTTCATTTTTCACAATTTCTTGGAGGCAGGACAGGGTGAAGATGGCAATCATTTGGCAATTCTGTGAAGTACTTCATCCAGCTGCTTGACTAAACTGGTAACGGATAATCTTGCCCACTGAGAACATTGAATTTATAGGTTTTGGGTTTCTAATTTGGTTTGTGAGGAGTGCGTAGTGCATGATTAGTGACATGGGATGTAGGTTCAAATCCAGTCCAGATCCGATCACGTGAGTCCACATTCTATAATGGTACTACTAAAATAATAATCATCCTTGTGTTTGATATAGTGCCTATAATGTCAAAACACCTCAAAGCACTTTACTGCAATTACTGTTGAGTGTATTGACTATATTCACAGGTGAACACAGCAGCCGATTTGTACACATCTATCTCTTGCAAAAAACAATTAAGTAAATGATAATTTCTTAATTTGGAGATTGTTGGCCAGGACACTAGTAGAAACTCGCTTCCGTTTTTGAATACATTAAACCCCTGGCTGGCCAGACTAATGGTCCAGCTGAGCCAGGATTTCCAGCTCAGTGTAATTACAATGCCAGTACTGGCTTTTTTCAGTGCCAAAAAATGCTGCTAAATGCCGTAATTGTAATCGTTTGAATCTCGTGAGAAGAAGATGGCGAATAAGCTCTCTTCTGCTCGCGGGATTCAAACTGAGTCTGTCAATAGCTCAGACCACTAAATGCCAACAAGAATGGTGAGGTGGGGGCCGGGTGATTTGGAGAGTGGGTAGGCGGGAGTCTACATGCGGCTTGCGGAAATGTTTTTTTTAAAAAATTGCATTCCAAACCCAGTCCGGCTGGGTACAAATTCTGGATACCTGGAGTCCAGTAACCCAGGGATTTGCTGTAGTCCATTGGGACCTTTAATGTCCACCTAAACAGGCAGACAGAATATTGGTTTAAAGTCAACCATAGGACGGCACCTCCAACTGCACATTGGAGTGCAGGGCAACACTGAGTTCATTGGTGAAGTGGTAACAAGATCAGTTTGGATGAAGAAGGTTCCTTTATGCGAGGGGTCCATTTGATCTCATCCATACATAATACCCACCTTACTGGCTCCCATCATAACATCAAGATGTGTGTTTTTTAAGTAAGTCTCATACCATAGGCTCAACCACCCTTCCTGGAAATCTGTTAATTACACTCGGCAAAATAAACTTCCTGGTGTCTGGTCTGAGATTTCCTTTTGTAACTGTATATCTATGTTCTCTCATTCTGCATTTGTTCATTCTAAAGTATGGATTTACATATGTCTCCTTTCAAGATGGTTTATCGTCTCATCCAAAGGACAGCACCTCCTTTGGATGAGACGTTAAACCATCTTGAAAGACTTATCAGAGAGTGACCTTATAGAGGTGTGTAATATTTAAATGGGATTGAAAATGTTAAACCCTCCCAGCACTGCATTGGAGTGTCAATTTAGACTATGTGAGTTCAAGTGCCAATGTGGGGCTTGAACACACAACCCAACTGCATCTGCCTCCCTGCAGGAGAATCCTTTGCCAGATAACATTAACGGGATGAATGTCAGGCTTCGCCACTGTTAAGAGCTCTGAGACGCTATCCTGTGTGGAGGCCACTATATAAGTGCAAGTTGTTGTTGTTGAATGATGAACGCTGGAAGGTATCAAGGAAGCCCTTTAAATGTTGCAAACGATGGTCACTTGTCACACTGTTGGCTAATGAACACGATAAAGTATATAAAAAGGGGAAAAGCTTGAGTTACAAAGGATGTTGCAGATTGGCATCCTTGCAGATTGGCAGAGCAATGTTTTTTGAAGCTTATTAATGATTTGTTTATCCTTAAAAATAAAATGGTATTTTTCTGGCTTTTGGGGGCTATGATTCCAGTTGAGAATGCTAGTAGAATAATATATGCATCATTTTACAAGTTATACTGTACTATAATAATAATCGTTGCGCTTGATATAGCACCCTATGTCGTTGTGAATGTCTCAAAGTGCTTTGCAAAATTTACTGTAAAGTTTAGTGACTATTTGGGAGCGAACAGTTTCCTTGTAGAAAATTAATAACATTCAAATGAGTGTGGAACTAAACTGACGTCAGTTGTGGTGCAAAATTGGCCTTCGTAGCCCCTGGGCTATGAGGACAGATGGGGAATCAGCCTTATGACAGTTGTTGTGAAGTGCACATATGGGTATTGTGCGAGGATAGGATTGCATTGGCTTTGATTGTCCCACCACTCCATGTTCACATAAGCCTCCTGATACTCCTGTCTGAACTTGCATGAATTCCACTTGAATAAGTTACCAGAGGTCAACCAACTACCTCATGCTGAGTCAGTTATTTCCAAAAAGAGTGGAAGGAAATAAAACCAATGAAGTATATTTTTTTCCGAGAAAGGATCAACATCTTTGTTTGGTCCGAGTTGCAGTTCCTCTTTCTGCTTATTAAAAACCAGCTGTACCCATTGCTGCTTTGATGGCAACCAAAGGCTCCAATATGGAATGTCGATCGGCACACAGACAGACACACACTTATATTCAGCTGCGAGGACTCCTGTGGGAGGACTCATTTTGGCCATGTTGTTTTCTGAGTGGGCAACTCATTTTGGTGCACTGTTACATTTTAGGTCATAACTCATGAATGATATGCGATACCTGAAAACAAAATGTTCATGTCATTCCCAGGTGCAAGACCTTTCCGATGAGGTATAAATCATGTCTCTACATCAATCGGTTATTGAGATCCTTCTTGAAGCGCATGCAGACAGACAGATATTGTCATTTTATTAGTATAGATAGATACTTTGTGCGCTTTGGTTGACTTTTCAAAACTGTTCAAGCAGAGTTGCTTCCTGTGGCATTTTTAAAATACATCTGGCAGCAACCATGGCATAAATGCTGCAATTCAATTTGTTTTTTTACTCTTTCTCTGTGGTTACTGGCCAAGATATCATCACATTGCAAGAAGGTCATTTGCATCCTGAGTTACCAGAACTGAATGTCTTGATTCTTATTTTAAACTCCCGACAGCGCCCATTCTACATTACTCCGGCTGAGTTGGAATTACATACAATCTGGCCTTTTTTATTGCAACAGTAAATTAGTTACTAATCTAGTAATAATCCTTGCATTTGGTATAACGACTTATTATGTCCAAAGGACGTCTCAAAGCGATTCACAGGATTTACTGCAGAATTGAGTGACTATTTGTCAGCAAACGCAGCAACACAATTGGGCACAGCAATATCCCACAAACAGCTGTGAAACAATCTTATTTGGAGCATTGTTGGCCAGGACACTATGAGAAACTCCCTTTTCTTTTCCAAAAGTACCATGGAATCTTTAACGTCCACCTGAACCAGGGATCTCGGTTTAAACATCTCAAATGTGAATAGAGTCAGATAGACTGACCCCTGCAGTTCTGGGAATTGCTGCATTGTTGGATTGCATTGGCTTTGCTGTCTTTTAAAGGAAGGGTAATTTAGTTTAATGACTGTCTCTCTAAATGAATCAGAGTGAAAGTAAGTGCTGAAAGTCATAACTGTAGTTGTTTTATTCCCCATTTAAAGAAACTCATTCCATTGCATGAAGTTTGAAATTATCCCTGCAAATAGCTGTGAAGCAAGCAAGGAATTTTATCCGGGGGTTGTCAGATACCGGGGAGAGAAAACAATGGTGACTGATGGACTTTGTATAAGGTGACCTTTGGGTTAGTTGAAATTAACAAAGCTTGAATTTTGCTCTTACAGTTTGATGTGATCACAAGGAACAGTATTTATAACACACTCTTTGTACCTGTATCATGTAATAAAGCCAGGTATCGGTAAGAGTTGTTACGGAAGTGTTGCTCAACAGCAGATGTTAGTTTTCCCCTAAGGATTATTCCTTTCAGCTAATAAAATAAGTATAGCAAGAGGGTTGCCAAGTCATGTCTAGGTTAATCATTCATCCTGAACTTTAGCAGGAATTCTTAGGCACGGAGAAACCTTAGGCAAGTTTCCTTACTTCACATGTCTCAGTTTACCAAGCAGTAAGTAAGAACCCAATTGTTAGTTGATTGGCAGATC